GGTGAAATGATCTTTTGTTCCAGTCTCCTTCATAAAATCAGAGGTTTTTTCTTTGTGCTGTCAATGAAATATTTTCAGTTATCTTCTGAGAGTAACTCCAGCATCTTTTCTTGTAGGTAGGGTTTGGATTCAACTGCAAACAAATTTGTCTCAACCTCTCTCGCTTTTTAAAAAACTTGTTACTTGTATGAGCAGAAACTCCTACATGCTATTGATTTCTTTTAGAGGATAAATCCCCAGGTTGACTCTTATGCTCTTATTCAGAGAGGTAGATTTCACTTCACAGTATTTCAGACTACTGTTATATGTGAATTGCTCTGAAATTTCAGGTGGTTTTTCCTTTTTACTTTGCTCACTTTGAGCCCAAGCTGTTGGAAATGAAAATTAAGCCAGTGCATCAGAGAGGATTGCTTTTGCATTGACTTTTTCATACCTTGGGAGTACCGTGTCCAGTTCTGGGCCTCCCAGTGTGAGGAAGATGCTCATAGAGCAGAGAGCCACCAAGGTGGCCAGGTGGCTGGAGCCCACGAGGCACAGTGAGAAGCTGAGGAACTGGGTTTGTGCTGGCTTGAAAAGAAAAGGCTGAGGGGAAATCTCGTTCCTGTCCCTGGCTGCCTAATGGGAGGAAAGGGAAGGAGTAAGGATGGGGTAATGGGTTTCTTTCTCTTAAGGAAGAGGAGAACTCATGGAATGAGGAAGTTGGGAGAGGGTCCCGTGTAGAGCTTGTAGGAATAAGAGGGATATGAAGATGCTCCTTTCTGCTGCATGTAGTAAGCTTAGAATATACGCTGCAGACCTTAAGCATAAGATAGCATTCCTGTAGTAATTATACTGTCCTTTAATGCCTTCTGATGAATGGCAGTTTCAGCACTTTCTCTGCTTTGCTCTTCTGTGTTGTCTGGCTGTTTCAGGAAGGAGTAGGGCATAAAAATAAGAGATTGGATGTTGGACACTTACACTGAGCACCTGTTGTATTACTGAAGTGCAGTAATCTTGAAGTTGTAGAAGAATCAGTACATATATTCTAAGGTGTGTGTTCTTAGACGTTTTGGCCATTAAAAAAGTGAGGGGGAAAGAGATGCTTGCTACAGAAGAGTTCTTAAAATAGCATTTGAATAAAACAGTTAAGAACCTGAGCCAGTTTCTTTGTGGCATGCAAAACATTTAATTTGCAGTGAATTTTTTCCTATTCATTATTCCAAAGTTGGCATGAGGCACACAGGCATACATTTTATGAAATATAAATGTTGAATCAAAGTAGTTGGCAGAAAGTTGAGATACATTTCTTCTGGGTACTGACATTTTTTTCTCCAAAGGAGAGAGAAAAACTTGTGTGTTGCATCTAACATAAATGTCCATATTGATGTGATGCGTGTGTGTATGATAGCTATCAGTCTCTGCTTTAAAAAGTTCATTAAAATTCATTTATTGCCATTTGTGCACGTAATTGGGACTTGCAAAATCGTTTCCCCTTGGAGCAAGTAAACTCTCAAGTTGAAAAAAAATGCTGCTTCACAAACAGAATTTCATAGCTTTATATTTTTAGAACGTGTGGTTGTATAATGGTATACAGCTAATGATTTCCCTAGTTTTGCTACTGCCTGCCACTTTGCCTAATGAGTAACTTTAATCGAAGTAGATGAAACAGAGGTTTAGTCGTGTCATAAATACATTCTGTCTCCATTTTTCATCTGTCTAGAGTTCTAGTTTGGTGGTGGTGAAGTGATTTAGATTTCAGAAAACCACTGGGAATTAGTTTATAATGTTACCCCTTCCTTGGGGATGTTTATCATGTAGCAGCTGGCTTAGGGCCAGTTTTAGAGAGGAAAGTATAAGAACTAGTAGATTAAAAAAAGGGGGGGAGAGGATTATTGGAGCAGCAAAAAGTAAGTTTTTGCTTTTTTTTTTTAGTGTGAGTAGAATACTGCCATGGATAGCCACAGGCCTTTATAAGGGATTTTTGAGGCAGGTTGTATTCTGAGTAGAGGGAGTTCATGCTTAGTAGCTCACACTAAGCATCGTCTCAGGTTAAGGACTTTTCTTTCCTTCTTGGTGTGGGTGAAATTGGCCTAAGGTTCTGCAGCCTATTGCTGGTCAGCCTGGAGCATAAGGGTAAGGGGAGATATTGGAGGGATTTGGAGAAGTAGGAGTAAGGCTGGAAGCTAAATAAGGTGACAAACCATCAAGAACTGAACAGGTTTGAGCAATCTCTGTATCAAGACCTTACTAATTTCTTACAGATTGTGTAGGGGACACGCTATAAGGCAGAGTATAAAATAATCTTGAAATCAAGACCTTTGCAACTTAAATGTGCAACTGAGTTGCTAATTTAGTTGCCTTAACATGGGAAATCTTCTCTTTGGGAGACGTTCTGACATTCTGAAAACCTTAAAAAATAAGCAGTGCTGTAAATTGTTTTGAGTGTGTTTATTGCACTTCTAAGCCAGTTCTCACAACTTGACCCTTGTAGTAGTTGACTATTTATGCAGGAAACCAAGTTAAAATGGTTCTAAATGATTAGTAGTTTAACATAACATTGCATGATTTCAGAAAAACCTGGTATAAGTGTGCGAGTTTTAGGTTGTAAAAAGGCTTCTGAAAATAAGTGGGATAGTCAGTAAATTGTTGTGAAGCAGTTTTGAATGTTCTGGAAGAATTTTGTTAGGTACGGAAGCCTGACCCTTGGCTGGCAGGAAGTCTTCAAATTTTGTACTTTATTGCAGAAACTCGTTTGGGAGGAAGCATTGTCCAGGGCTTTCATGTATCATTAGTAGTGACAGCAGTCATATATTCCTGGTCCTCTGACTTCTACTTCCTTGTCCCATGTTTTACTTTACGTTCTCACCTGCTTCTGAACTCTGTTTCCTTACTCAACTACTCCTGATTCTGTTTCTTAACTGCCATGTCTGACTTAATGTGCATTCACTTCAACTCTAGTTTGGTTGGGCTGGTTTCACTGGATTAGGCCAGTCCTATTCCTGTTGTTTCCTTGCTAGCAGACCACCTGTCACTGCTAAAATACTCTGCTTGAAGAGTTACATAGTGGAAGTGGAGGAAAGACACGTGGTTTTAAATTACTGCCGTTTTACTTGTAGCTAATTAGCACCTTTGTAAGTGACAAATTGTTTGACTCATGAGATCCAAATCCATAAGAAAAAAAAATGTTGGTTTTGGCACCAATGGAACTACTTGTTTGCCTTATAGAGACATAAATACTTCAGCTTCCTCAAACTAATTGCACAGCCTCAGACTTACAATCATGGTACTCAGAAAGGAGCTTTGGGATTGTCATTTCCAGAGTGTTTTTAGGCGAGTCCAGTGAAGGAAGCTTTGCTAATTACTTCACATTCTCTATAGACTGGTTTCTGGCACAGCATTTTAATGCTTTCTCTGTGTAGTTTCAACAAAGTTGGGCTTTGTCCTTACGGTTTATAATGCTGCACTCTGGAATGTAGGCTTTCTAAAGGGGTGGTAGGTTGAACAACTAGAGTAGTACGATATTTGATTACTGTTTGATTTCTTTTGGTTCCGTGAGTAATCCTTTCACTATTTTTAAAAGTGATATCCTGGTGCTTAATTTGTAACTTGTAAAGTTGCTGAAAACACTGAATATCGAACAGACAAGGAGTAGGAAGTTGATACATGTAGGTGTAGGACTTGCAAACTTACAAAACCCTTTCCTGCTTTGAAGGGCTTTCCACACCTCAAGTCTTGAACAGTTTTTCTCCTCAGTCAGTACAAGTGAATGGCAGCAAGTCAGGATGCAGACTGGTCTGGGGAAGTGTAGGGGTGTTCTGTACCACCAGAACAAAATGCAGCATGGTGGTTAATATGAAAACCTTGAAACTTAAGGTAACTCATTTCTGTATTTTTATAACGCATCCTGGGCTTGCTTAGCCGCTGCCGATCTGAGGAACAGATTAAATAAAGGTCAAGTTTCAGCTCAGCGTGATGCTGTGCAAGGAACTTGTTCCTAGGATCTCCAGGGTTAGCTCTTACAGAGGTGGCTTTGTCCATGGGTCTGCAGGGATCCCCAGGCAGTAGTGGCTTTAGGTAGAGCTTGGAACTCGCTTCAGCCCAGCTATTAATGCAGATCAGCAGCTGAAGTTCTGCAGGCACCATTTCAGGCTGGCTGTACCATCATACCGACTCTGTGGCACTTGGAGAGAGCTTCTCATCCTGAGTGACTTTGAACAGCCCTTGCTTTGCAGGCTCTTCTGCAACTTTATAATGCTGTAGCCAAAGGACAAGGTTAATTATAGAAGAAGCACTTCAGTGTGGTCGTTTAAAGGGGATTATGCATAGCTGTGAACAGGAGTATGACATTACACTTAACTTTTACTCCTACAATAATTGCAACTTTTATCCACTTCTAATTGCAGATACTGTCAACATACACTAGGCAGCTTTCCCTCTAGCATTCATGAAGTATATGTTGTTTGAAGCAGATTAATGCTGATTCCAAGCTTCTGCAAGAGAAAGATCTTTATAGTCTTAGGCTTTTTCCTGGTTTATATGCTATGCATCAGATATGAAATTTTTCAGTGGATGAAGTTTAAACCTGGATAAGCTTTTATTTTGCTGTCCTTCAAAATGCCTATTGAATTATTAGAGTTGTCAGTCAAGAAAATGCTGAAAGTATTAAGAAAGTATTTAAGAATCTTGGTGCCTGGTGTTCTGGGAGATGGGGATAGATAATTAACTTTAGGGATAGCATAATTTACAAAGAGTGAGTAAAAAACAAAAGTGGTGCTAATAAAGTAAAAGTCTGGTGCTAGACCTATGTAGCGCCGTGTGACTTTAGTTGATACGGGACCTGAAGACAGGTAACTTCATGTTATAAAGTTGTGTTGTTTTACAACACAGGATTTGTATTAGAGACCATATCTGAAACAAACGTATTTATATTCTCACTACTACAAAATTCACCTAAATAGAAGCTCTTTGAACTGTTTGTCATTTGGATTAATTTATCTTTTGTCTTGTGTTGTCTTGTGTAGGTTGAGATTGTCAGGAAGAAGCCAGAAGCTGTAAGATGGGAGAAGCTGGAGGGAGAGGGTGATTCTCCAAAGCTAAAGCAATTTACACCAGGTCTGCTGTCTATTACTGTTTCAGGTTTAACACTTTTATTAAATTACCTCCAGTTATTTAGAAAATCTGGTGGGTTAAATATTGGTAATATTATTACATATTCTTTACAGCTTACATTCTTACATTACAGCTTCATATGTACAGCGCAACACCTAATGGACTTTGCACTGCCAACAATTGACAGAAGCTGTTCATAGCTGTTTATATTGCTAAAATTCCGTTATTAGACATCACTTCCGTTAACCTGATGGGTTTTTCGGGATCTGTGCTTATCACTAATTTCTCTGAGGCTTGTTCTTTTGACTCTGTCTATTTTGGTCACTCTGTTCTTCAGTGCTTTGCACTGTTGTTGTTATTGCTTAAATTGCCTTCCACTGATTTTCATTTGGTTATTCTGCCTTTCTTACAAAAGTTGCACTTCTGCATTTTTTTTTGTCAGAATAATAATTCATTTTTGAGAAACGTCGAATCTCTTAATTACTCCATTTATATATTTTTGAAATTTAGCTCAGTTTTTCCTTTAAGCATAGGGTGTTTTTGGGGGAGTGCTTTGTGTAGGTTTGCTGGGCGTTGACAGAAAGAGGGTTTGGCCAAAATCTGCTACACCTCACCCTGGCCTTGCTTATTTGTGTTATTGCTGTCTACCATTTCTTTGCATAGCTAAGTTATGTTGATCCTCTGTTTATTTTAAAGTAAACTTCTGCAGCTGCTAAATCTGTTGTGTCATTTTAATTGCCCTTACTGTTGTTACTACAGTGCTTACAGAGGAACTGATTTGTGTTTTCAGATTCGTATATCATCAGTTGCAAGTCCCTAATTCATAGCATATGTTGGTGTATGTATATTTATGTATGTAGGAAAGCTGTGTTTTTGCTGTTGTATTTACTGCCGTTTTGGAACTCAGATGTTCTCATGTGTATTTTTTTCTCCACATAAGTTTTAAACTTGTGTGTGATTCCTCTTTTTTAATATAATTATTTTGTAATGTTCAGGAGACACTACCCTCTTCCTGCTTCTCTTGCTGTGTCCCTCATTTCTCAGGGCTGCTTTTTGTATTATCATAGAATCATAGAATAGTTAAGGTTGGAAGGGACCTCTAGAGGTCAACCCCCTTGTACACACAGGGTCACCTAGAGCACATGGCACAGGGTGGCATCCAAGCGGGTTTTGAAGATCTCCAGAGAAGGAGACTCCACAGCCTCTCTGGGCAGCCTGTTCCAGTGCTCTGTCACCCTCACTGTTAAGAAATTTTTCCTTAAGTTCCTGTGGAACTTTTGGTGTTTCAGTTTGACCATTACCTCTTGTTCTGTTGGTGGCCACCAGTGAAGAGAGGCCAGCTCCATCCTCCTCCTGCCTCCCTTGAGGTACTTATAGACACTGATCAGATCCCCTCTCAGCCTTCTCTTCTCCAGGCTGAACAGGCCCAGCTCCCTCAGCCTCTCCTCATAGGGCAGATGTTCCAGGCCCCTGATCATCCTTGTGGCCCTGCGCTGGACTCTCTCCAGCAGCTCCACATCCCTCTTGTACTGTGGAGCCCAGAACTGGACACAATACTCCAGATGCAGCCTCACCAGGGCTGAGTAGAGGGGCAGGATCACCTCCCTTATTAGCTTTCTTCTGTGCCATATCTCTTCAGGATCTATCAGCAGGTTGCTGTATCACAGGTTTAAGCTGGATTTTAAGGCTATGATGTAGGATCAGTGGAATGGAAAGTTGCTTTTGGATCAAGTTGTAATACTTAAAAACAGCTTTATGAAACATTTACTATCACTGGAGAAGCAGTCATTTTCAGCCACTTTCTGATTTGTAGTTAGGGCTTATTTTAAAGCCAGGTGATAGTGATATATAGTGATATACTTCATTGGTGCCTATTTTATATTCTCTTGCTAATTTTGAAAGTTCCTTAACATCTAGACAATTTTCATCATCTTAAAATATAAAGCTTTGATTTTTTTTTTCTTTGTTTACTGCTGATTTACATGTGTGTTCTCATTTCTGTGTGCTAAGTTAACATTTCCTAAGGAGTTTCCAGTTGCAGCCTTCCTTCCAGTTGTATGCCCTACTCCTTTTGTTTTCCCAATCCAAATATTAGAACTGGTTAACTAAAGCTTCTGTTTTCAGATACCCAGCACTTATATCCATCATCCTCTCACTATACAAGGAACTGGGATAAACTGGTGGTTGAGATCAAGGAAGAAGAGAAGAATGAAAAGTTAGAAGGAGATGCAGCTTTAAATAAACTCTTCCAGCAAATCTATTCAGATGGCACAGATGAAGTGAAACGTGCCATGAACAAATCATTTGTAAGTTCTTTATCTTTATTTCTATAAATAAATATGCAGCTTTTGCACATTGGCACACTTTACTAAGCTTTGCATGAGCTGGCAAGCCTGTAGCCATCAAAACCTTGGGCCCACAATAAATGGCAGCAGTTCAGTTGGAGATGTTGGTATAACAAGTCACACTACATCACCATACCCTAGGGAATGTGTTTCAAATCCCAATATATGCCTCAGTGGAGCTTGTGCTCTGTCACCAGTCTCTTGCAGTCTGTGTTACCAAGGGAGTTTGTGGCTGGTCTAGAGCTTGAGGAGTTGCCCAGGATGAAAGGAAGAAATTCCTCTTAACTGCTGATCCTGGCGTCCTTTCATGTGCAGTCCTTCTGTGCAAGAACATGACTGGGCCTTTAAAAGCTACTTATTATGGAAGCAAATACCCAGTGTGTCAAGTACAGTCAAAAGTATGCTGGGGTGAAGTTTGGAAAATGATGGCTCTGTCAAATATTGTTCAATACCTGCACAAAAACGCTGAGTAACTTCTAAATGAAGTTTGACCAATTCTGAAGAAACTAAAGAATTCAATCTGCTATAAGAAACGTGGCTTGTAAATAACTAAAATTCCAGCAACAAACAAAAAACTATTTTGTCTTTTTGCAGATGGAATCGGGAGGCACAGTTCTGAGCACTAACTGGTCGGATGTTAGTAAAAAGAAGGTAGAAGTAAACCCTCCTGATGACATGGAATGGAAAAAATACTAATCTTCGATTTTCGTCCTTCACCATCTATGTATTGGCATATTCATGTACTGACCACTGTGTACGGACATAGCATTCTTGGATTCAAAGCACTGAATGTTCCTTGGGAAGCAGGAATTGTCATCTTTACATTTTACGTGCTTTAGAAATTCCTTCACCTGCAGATGTTAAAGATATAATCAACAATTGAAGTCTGTTTTCATCACTTCCGTCTTAAGTTTTTTTTTTTTCTTTTTTTTGAAAATTGACTCAGTCACAGTATAAATTTTCTACCAGCTTTATCAGCTCTGTTCTTTGGGGATGGGATGTTCCTTAATGGGCTGTTCAGGATTATTGCCTTATGCCTGATATTTCTGTTCAGAAACTTAATAGAACTTGGCAACTTTGGGTAAAAACACTTTTCAACAACAGTGTTAAAATTGTTTGCTCTTTAACTCTGCTAAATAAAACTGTAAATACAACTTTTTCTACACAGAAGTGGCTTCATTTCAGTTCTAGCAGTGAAGTTTTGGGTTTGGATGGAGGGGGAATCTTTAAGAGTGTATCACTGAAGAAGTGAGTATATTTGCATCTGCATAGGTGCAAAACTGTCATTCTGCCAAGAGTGTAAGGTTGCTGCTCTTAATGCAGATGAAGACTTTCCAATTGTGAATTCCTTACACCATGATGATAGGTAGTACTGCATCCATATGTGATGGGGGAGAACGTTTTCCCCCCCATCCATCCAGTTCATTCAAAGTGAATCTCCTGTCTTCAGAAAGGAAGGACCTATTGTGAATTAATGAGTAAGTTGTGAATTAAATGAGTTTGTTGAGATAAAAGGGCAATTGCAGCAGATCTTTCAGTAGGAAAAAAGTTACAAGTCTGTACCTGATAAAGCAATAAATGTGTGGGAAAGCTCCTCTGAAACTAATTTTGGTAGGAGGAGGAAAGGATGTATTTTCCATCTGTAGAGAACTAGGAATTTAGGTTTTACTATGATGCTGCAGATTTTTTTTTTCCTGGTGCTATTACCACGTCTGTGGCTGAGATCTGAAAGTCACGATGCTCTGAAGAGAGTCTGTGTTGGGATGTTTACTACAGCGATGGCTTGAGGTTGCCTTCCTTGGCAGCTGCCGACTGCAGCTGCGGTCCTGACAGAACTGCAGTTTCTTGATGCGCTCGCGTCATGACTATCCCACAGCGCAAGCTTGACGGGGTTTCCTTTTCAGATCACATCCAGCTTCAGCACTGATTCATGTTCTCTGAAGTTGGAGTTTGATGGCCTTCAGGACTGAGTGTTCTCCTCGTCTTCGAGTAGGATAACAGGAGATGGATTGAATTTGGGAAGTGTGTGGAAGTAAGGCCCTGTCTCTGACTCCTCTGGGAAGAGGCTTTTCTCTGTAAACCTTTCTCAAGGGCTATCTTGTGACATATCTGAGTGGATGTTTCTTAGCTTCAGTAGGGAATTGCTTGTCCTTCAGGGAATCCTGAATAGCTACTAGCTCAATATCTAGGACCTTTTCTACATTTATGGGATGTTAACATCCAAGTGGACTTGATTTGGAACAGGGCCTTCCACCCTAATGTAGAATGAAGACAAATGCCTGAGCTCAACTTTTTTTTTGCATGAGATGCAATTTCTTGTCTCTTGGCCAGGCCTGCTTTGTAAGTGTCATTCAGGGCACTTAATGGTGCTTAGAAAAGACTTGCTCTGCGAAAACACCAGATAAAAGTCTCTTCAATAGAAATGAAAAAGTAATTTGGGGATATTTTCTGCCAATCAAATTTTTCTTACTTAATATAAAGAGCATAGCACAGGTTCCTTTATTTACTTTCACTTACAGAAAGTCCTTGGGAATATTTTGTCAGATGAGCACAATATATTTTTGTTTTAAGTGAGTACTTCTTCACTGCTTTGGGATTCAATTCACTTAGCTTAAGGCCAAAAGCAAAATAAAATGCATTGGTACTCGTGTACTCTCGAGGCATATGTAATGCAAATATAATGCTTTAGCTTCAGGCTAAACTCGTAGTGATGGAGTGGGCGGCCTCCCTGGCCATCTCACTCGTGTGAGCTGAGTATGCAGCTCTCAACGCAACACCAGCACGAGCACAGAGGGGAATCTGTGTGTGTGTATACGTAGCTCACCTTAAAAATGATGTGAACCAATAATGGCAGCTTTGGTATTACAATAACTTCTTTTTTAATGAAAACAACGGGTAAGACTTTCTGGTAAAGTTGGAAAAAGTTGCTTTGTGAACAGTCCATTCCATCCTTGACAAAATTTGTAACACCGAGTGTTTGCAGAGGCTGTGGATTACGAGGGTCCGGGGAAGGGGGCAGCAGGGAGCTCTGAGGTTGAACAGAGGCTGTGAGGAAGGGACCAGGCCGGGGGCACCAAGGCAGCTCCCCCAGCACCGCGGAGGGGAGCGCAGGGCGGGTGCTGCAGGACGGGCCCTGCGCTGGCTGGAAGCAGAGCCTGAGAGGACCGTGCGGGTGGAGAGGAAGGGCCTTCCTGTCTGCTTTTGAGCACAGGAAAAACGTGTTTCACTGGCATTTAAAATCTTCTGAGTTTTCTGAATGCCTCTTAGTTCACTATGGGTGCTACTTATTAGAAGACATACGTGCTCTCACCAATTACATGAACAGGGGGGCAGATCTGCTGTCTAATAGGTAAGACTTACCTTCTGCTACTGTTTTGATTGTCACAGAAAATGCCTGACAGTTTTATGTAGCTACCTCTCATCTTTGGTGTATGTAACCTAAGTGCTTTTTAAAGCTCAGCTGAGCCTCTCCAGATGAGGGGATGGCCCTGTAACTGGCTTAGTCTCTGCTGCCCTTTTGGAGCAGTGTTTCCATCTACCCCCGTGGTGCAGATCAGGGGAGAGTCTTCCCTGAGCAATCCACTGCTTGCCAGCTGCAGTTGTTTTATGCTTCTTTACATCTTCGAAGTGTGTGGAACAAGTAGGTAGTTTATTATCCAACCCAGATTTCCTTTGAATGTTCGCAGGTGGTAGCAGGGCTGAAGTGGTACAGGGGGCCAGGAGACAGATGCACCCGCTGAGCATCTTTTTTCACTTGATGCAGATGCAGTCGGAGAAGGATTCCCTCACTAAAAAGGAGGAAGGGAGAGACTTGGGTTCCTTTGGGTGAGCAGAGAGAGGGGTGCATGATAGATAGGGAAAATAGGCAGACTCCTGCTGCCCCCCAGGTCCCCCATCCGCCTCCCAGCTTTGTGGATTTGCCTGTTTTCCTTCTCTTTCCACCAGCCTGAAATTACTCAGTCTTTTTACTCTAATCTGCTCTGCCATCCTAATCCTCTTAGTATCCATTCATATGAGTAATTTAAGGGTAGCTGAATTACAGTGCTCTCCCATTCATATGAGTAATTTAGCTTTAAGGGTAGCTGAATTACAGTGCTCTGACACCCACCCACCTTTGGTAAGGAAACACTTGGTAAAAGCCCCTTCCTTTTTCCTTCTCCCCTTACCTGCAGCCAAAGAAAGGGCTTGAATTTGTGTTTGCTAGTGCAGGGTCAGATTCAAGGAGCCCCCATGAATCGTGACAGGTCAGAAATCCTGGTTTTTCTTTCCACGTGTATGTGTTGTGAGCTGTTCAGCATGCAAAGTTTATTTTTGCGGTGTGTGCAGGGCGGCTCATCTTCAGCACAGCTTTTTTTCTGAAGGAAGTAAATGTTGTGCAATAATGAATAGGATTGATGTGGATACTTCGCTGAATTGTAGTCTGAGCTTCCGCTGTGGTGAAAACTGCTTTGTCTTTCATCCTTACAAAATAAATAATGAAGTTCTCTGCCCATCTCCCAATCTGCTTTTGGATCATTGGTCTTATTCATTGCCTCAGAGCTTTTTCTTACAAATTAGATGTTGCACTTAAAACAGATCTCTGCAACCTTAGCCTCAGCAAGAGGGCGTTTTGTTGAGCTTTTTGTATTTGAGCACTCTACATAGGTAAAAATAGATTATCTGTAATATGAGGGGAAGGTATCTTGTTGCGTGTCTTTTGGAAAGTGATAAATGTGCACTCTTAGCACTGTAATTCTCATAATTTTTACACTGCTTACATGGTTTGTGGCTATTACGTGCTTCTCTTACAATTACTGAGGCATTCCTAATACCATGCAGGTATGTCTTGAAAGTTGTTTTTTGTTGCCTCTGTGTGTTCTTTGCACATACACAATATGTGTTGGTGTTTAAAGCATCCGTGAGCAGCGCAGGCTTTCGCTGCTTACACAGCTGGCAAGACTGCCTATAGGGAAAAGCTGATGAAAGCTTTTTCTTAGGAAGAGTCAGTTCTGTTAAGCCTGTATAGGCGTGGAAATGACCTGCAGGATCCTTGTTTCTGTCTTCTAAAGAACAGTGTTTTGCTGAGGAGCTGGGGAGCAGCATGTCAGGTGCTCCTTCACGATGACAAGGGCTAACCTGGCACTGTCTTTCACATGTTAATACACACACACTCTTCCCCTCACCTTCAGTGTTGCACTTACTAATCTTGTTTTCCCCTCCAGACAGTTCCTGAGCATGCACTTAAAGGTGCTGCTGCACTCACGAGGTTTGAAAAAAGGCACAGAGAGCATTTTAAAATCTATTTGTTTAATTTGCAGTAAAAAAAAAAAAGATTTTTCTAAGCATATGAATGATGTGCATCTAAAACAACATAATAATCAAGGTCACTTTCATTTTTTAAAAGCAAAACCTCAAATTTCTCAGGCCTTGAAATCCATTTTAAGAAGTTTTCAATTTAAATCTTTCAAAGCAAGTCTTTTCCTCAGACTAAGGGAAGGTGAAGGTTGTATTAAAGGTGATAATGATAGAACAAAATTACCAGATTCTATGCTCATCCTTTTCTCATTTAACACTCCGCTTTATAGATACGCGGTTTAGCATTCCACATAAGGCTTTCTTTTTTTTTTTGTCAGGCACGATTATGGGAAATTAATTGTTCTTTGTGTGTGTCACGCAGTATTAATAACATTACGAGGCTTGCAACAATCTCGAGTTGTTTAGTTACAAAAACAAATGCTCCAGACAATTAACTTTGGGGAGAAAGTAGGTCACTGTTTTTGAAGTTCTTGTAGATGGCTCCAGTACAAGGGTACAGTTCCAGGTGTATGGTATGGAAGAAGGCAGTATAATAATACCTGTATTTTTCTTTTTCCAGACTAGAAGTCCCAAGTTTTCCACCTTCATAAGTGCTTCAGCTCAGCACCTTCTTTGGACTTAATGGGATCAATTCAGGTAATTGCAGAGTTTGCCGAAGCAGAGGGGGGGATGTTATAAACCTTTTTTTCTTACTGGTGAGCAGTTTGTCTTGTGGAGAAGTGAGGTTAACTTCAGACTAATGGAGCTAGCCTGAATGACTGCTATCCATGTGGAATGAAGAGGGGTTGTAATCTCGTGTCGAAAGTGTCTAGTTCAGGGATTTATAAATACATTGGCTGTTGTGGACTCTGAAGTGTCTTGAAGCTTTTTGGTCTACAGCTGCATGTAAATACCCTTGCCATAGTAGCTGGGTAGCGCATACTGGTTAGACACGACACCAGTATCATGGATACAAGATTCTTGAAGCTGGGCTGACTTTGATGTTGGACATGCAAAGCGTTTTGCCCCCGTGGCCACGCGCATTCGGCCATGCGGCCCCCTCTTCGTGCTCCTTATTTTTGCTCCCAACACAATGTGCACTTTCTGCTGTCCCCTGGAGTGGGTTTGTGGGAAAGGTATGCTGTAATTGGGTTATAACCCTTCATAATGACCTCGCAACTCTGTGAGAAGCAACAGGGATCAAGTTGTGATTTATTTAAGCAAGCTACATGGATGAAAGGTGCTCCCGAGCGCTCAGCTAGTTGCCTAATCTGACGTAAATTTTCACATGTAGCTTGGGTTTTGTTATGAAAGTCCTCAGGTTTACGAGCAAGCTTCTAGACTGCAGAAACCAGTTAGTGAGCAAAGTTAGTATCGCCTGTTTTTGGTACATCTTTTTACATTCAGCAAATTCGATCGTATCCTTGTCACACGAAAAGCTAATTTAAGTTTTTATTTACACTTGGAATAACCGACCTCGCTTTTGGTACATTTAACGCGCGCAGATTTAAAATCCAGGCTGGGTCGTGCTGCTTTGGTTGTGGGTCCCTTGTCAGTCCGCGGTCATGGCGCTCCTGCTCGAGTCGTCACGGCTCTGCGTGCTGCTTCTCACACGACGCCCATGATACGAGCGACCCACCAGCTGCAGGGCATGATGATGCGGCAGGCGGTGCGGCAGCCCTGGTAGTTGTAGGGCCAGGGCTCGTAGCCCATGAGAGGCTCGCAGATCCTCTGGCACTGCGTGTAGCTTCGCCGGCACTCGATGCAGCACACGCCCAGGTGGTCCAGCATGGGGTCAAAAGCCGTCCCTTCCCCTTCCAGCTGCTGAAATGCAAAATATCGACTGTTATCCCTGTGTTCTCTGAGCCCATAGGCTATACCCGTGCTCCTGATAATGCTGCAAAAGGTAAAATGTGAAATTCTGGTCCTGTCCAACTTGCTGTGTTTGGCAGACGTGTGGAATTGCTGGAGTCACCCACGTACAACAGAAAGAAACATCAGGGAGCTCTAACTTGATTCTTCTTTTCTACGGTCCTCGCAAGAGATCCAGCAGCAGTAAACTCCAAGGTGCAGATATTAGTGAGAGGAAAAAAATACAGTTATCTGGAGTGTTTATACAGATTGCTGTTTTTGGAGCTTACACAGTATTTTTAATCTTAGTTTTTAATATTTTTAAAGCTTTTAATATGTTTCCAGCTACCTATTCTATAAGCTGCTATTCTGTATTCTTCTTCATTCAAATTCAAAATACTGAGAATATCTTTTCCTTTGTCCTTCATTTATCTTTCCTCCTGCCTCTCCGCCACTTAGCTGCCTTGCGCGCAGGGATATTTCTGGCTTTGCAGCATTAGACAGTAAGGAGTTGCATATAGAGCAGGGCATACATAGAATATGTAAAGCCAGGCTCCTGCTACTGTCTTATTACTTCAGAATTCTTTTACTACTTTCTGGGTACAAAATGAATATTCTGCTTCTTGAAACCAATTTGTTCTTTTTCTATTGGTGCTATTTCGAGAGTAGCAGCAAAGAGCAAATGTCAGAGTACTATTTAGCTCTTTCCTGGGTGTTTTAATTCAAAACTAACAGCACATTGAAAATGTGAGGTGCAGGGGGTGCCGTTTATTTTCCGCTTGTGGCAGATGCTAGTGCTGGCTGCTTAGTTCAGGCCTTTAGCAACCCGCTGCCAGCGCTGATAACGGGGAGGGCATTGCTTCTCTTGGGGTGGGATTTGCGTTCCTTGAACTTGGGTACTGTCCGTGTGAACATTGTCTGAACTCCCTTTAGAGTGGGTGAAGAGAAACAAGCAGTTCTAGGGATGATTGCTTTCATCCTGAAGGAAAGGCCTGCAATGTAATTTAATGTGCTTTTAAATTGGATGAATCAGCCTCGAAGAAAGCTTAGATATGGACATCTATGCAATAACGGAGGTTAATGGAAGTGAATCTTACACTAAGATTGCAGCCTAAGGGAAGTGTAGGGAGCGCATCCAACTCAAACTTCCTGACTTGCCACAGGAGCCTCCTGGCTGGACAAACAGACCAGCAGCCCCCGTTGCTCTCCAGAGGAAAAAGGTGACTTGGACCCCATGGGCTTAAAGGTAATAGATGTGAATAGACATTCAGTCCCAGTGCTGCTGCTATTTTACTGAGTTCATGAGAAAGTCAATTTAGATCCACTTTATTTGGAGTGCTTAATTTAAGTTTAATTAAGGGATGTCAACTCGGTAAAATGCTGTCACCAGATAATGATCTCCTGCTGTTGCATAAATGTCAAGTCAAAGCTGGGACTTATTTCCAAAGCAGGAGCCATTTATCTTGTGAAAATGTTCTATTAAAATACCGAGTAGTGGATATAAAACTTCTGGTGATGGTGCAGTAGACTGGAAGTTGCTTATGGTACAGTTAGTTTTCTGCAGCCCTGCAAAGGTGTTGAATCGCAGGGGAGACTGCTTTTCTGTTTTCACTTTTTTGAGTGACACAGGTGATTAAGGGACTCAAATCTCCACCTTATGAGGAAAGGCTAGGCGAGCTGGGCCTGTTTAGCCTGGAGAAGAGCAGAATGAGAGGAGACCTGATCAATATGTACAAATACCTGAGGGGAGGATGTAAAGAGGATGGGGCCAAATGCTTCTTGGTGGTGACCAGTGACAGAACAAGCGGTAATGGGTACAGATTGAAACACAGGAAGTTCCACCTCCATGTGAGGAAGAGGGAGTAACATCCTGTGGGGGTGACAGAGTCCTGGAACAGGCTGCCCAGAGAGGTTGTGGAGTCTCCTTCTCTGGAGATCTTCAAAACCCGCCTGGATGCCACCCTGTGCCACGTGCTCTAGGTGTCCCTGCTGGAGTAGAGGGATTGGACTGGATGATCTCTAGAGGTCCCTTCCCACCTCAACCATCCTGTGATTCTGAAGACTGCTTCATGTCAGAGCAAGGACAAATTTTGTAATAGTCGCCCCTGCACCCACAATTGGTTTCTGGACAACTTCTGCTCTGTGAATTGATTGTCAGACGGTCTTTTACCCTGATAGCTATGACTCGGAGAAGAGATTTATTTGGCCTAATCCTCATCTCTGAAACCAGACACTAACCACCACTTTTTCTCTGTCGCTCCTAATAGTAATTTATATTTGAGTGTATAATATGTTTCTTCTAACTACTAGGCTTGTCTTGTCAATAAAAGATCAGGTTCAGCTGTCTGATCAGGACAAACTTTTGTTTATTTTCTGACAGTATTTCTAAAATGTCTAAAATGTCTCTTGTACTTTTGTTTGGAACCCTTAAAGCAACTTTTCATCAAATTGTCCTAAACTTGCCCCCTCCAGTGTGTATTCTGGTTTCAGATTGAAGCCTAATAAAAACTAGAGGTGAGGGACAGACAGGAGGATTGGGGATAAACTTGTATTTGAATGTTTTAGAAGCAGAGGTGCTTTACAAACCTATATTTTCAGGGGGAAAAACTAAAAGAGCAAAAATATTCAAATTTAAAATAATAACAATAAAAAAACACATCAGTATTATCCAGTTCTAAGAGTTATAGTACAAATACTTACATTGTATGGATTGTCTGGATTAAGCGGCTGATCGTTTTCTTGTCCCATTGGCCTGGTTTCATTAGACTGGTGATCAAGCTCCTGCCTCAGTTGTGTGGTGGAAGGCTTCGTACTTGCTTCAGTAGCAGCTTCCAGTTCCTCCCCATCAATGTTTGTTTCTGTTTGGCGTGTTTTCCTCTTTACTTCTCTCCTTTCCCTTTGGTTATCTGAAGAAATAATCACTGGTAGATCACCACAGTTGTAACACATCCCTCAAAGATTGTCTAACATTTTATTTAAAAAAGGCCTAGTGGAAAATTTGACAGGCATCCCAGTGGGAGCTGCTTGCCTTTCTGCATTTTATACATAGCCCGCTATCATTCTGTAGAAATGTGAGGTCGCCTTGTTTCCTTCTTCTCCCCTTGAAGCAGAACAGACCAAGAAGGCAAGTGTGGTGAGGAGGCGCTTCTTGACTCACCACATGGTCAATGATGTTAACACAACAGCAGCCATTGCCAGCGCTAGCAAGAGCAGTCCTATGCATCTCATGTTTTAAAGAGCAGCTGTGACACGCTGAGTGCCCTGCTCCCAAGCAGGCAGCTGGGAAACCTTGCGGAAACAGCTTCTGCACTGCTTTAAAGGGCTCTTTTGACCAAAGGGATGTGCAAGATCGTGGGGAAAAAAAATTAAAAATTGGCAGTTTGCTTCCCCAGGTGCTCTAATGATGCCTTTTTAAAAAAATATTTTCTTGACTGTTTTAATACTAACTGGACGAAGAAGCAGTAAGTCTCTTCAAGCCCTTTCCTCTCCTTCCAGGCCTGGAATTCACCTGGATAAGTTGCCATCTTTATGGTAACTCTAATACATACCATCATGAGCTTGACTCTGAATGGCAGCCTGGGCCAGCCCCAAGGATCTCATAAACTTAATCTGCTGGTTGCCTATAGCTAAGGCATCTCATCCTCCCACTTAATGAAACCCTCTGGAGGAGCTGGGTGAGAAGCAGGACGTCTGTGGTCTCTGTCTGGAGCTTGCAGTTCCTCAGCTTTTGGCCAGCTGTGGAATTCCTTCTAGCTGATACCAGCTGTCTAAAAATTTTAGGGAATTAGTTTAAACTGTTGTCTTGTCCCTGTTGACCTTCAGAAGTGATTCATCCCATGGTAACTCACCCAGGTGGGTGGTACACATTGTATCAGGGAATGCAGGTATGGAAGAACAAATGCCTAGACACATGTGAGCTGAGTTCCAGCCTGCAGTGGTGGCACCAACCCACGAGAGCTGTGACAAGGAATACTGCTTTCCAAGATGTGCAGATCTCGGGGATGGATTGTGTTTGAGGATAGTAGTTAGGTGAAGGGAGGGATAATATGCTTCTCAAATATGGGGTGTCTTACCTTTGGGATACGTTGGGCGAAGCCAGAAAATCGGAAGATCTCCACAAAGCTCTAAAATTTTGGCGCTTAGGAAACTGTTATCCTTGATCGGCTTGTCTGCAGCCACCCAGATAAGGGAGTTTTCATCAAATTTAACAGGCATGATTTCATCTTCCTGCAAATAGAAGAGCACAAATCCTTTGCTAGTTCAGTGAACAGTCATGTGCCTGCTTGCGCTTAGTTATTGAGCAGCAAACTGTGTAATCATCAGCTGCAAAAAATAACAAATGTTTTATTTCTCATATGTGAACTGCTGCGGTGAGCCAAGTTTTGGATGACTGCTCCCACCTCTGAAATGAATGGCAAAAATACCATCAGCTTTTTGGGGGCTGAGATTTCACCAGTGTTTCTTTCGGAGAGCTTTTGCCTGATTTAACAGGCCGCTATTGCCTGTGGTTGCAGGGACCGCACGAGGGGGCAGAGCTCATCCAGCCCAGGGCACCAGAATCTCCGCTGGCAGAAATCAGGATGATTCACTGTCTTTAGAAAAGTGCAATGCAAAACGCCCCCTAAAAAACAAGACTTGAACCTTTTCTCATGTTCTGCTCCCATTTCATGTACTCCTAGGATATTTTTCTATTGTGAACATATTATATCTTGTTCACGGGTTTTTGAGAAGGTTATAGTTTGAGAACTATAGCTTCCAGTTTTAAGTCAACATGACTGATCTGATTAGAGGTCTTGTTCAATAAAAGCATTTCAATTGACCAAAAGCTTGAAGTGCAAGTTAAAGGAGCCTTCGTTTTTGAAGTGTACCCTGCAGGTTTTTGGTTCATCTCTTCAAAGTAATGTGGGAAAATGCCAGTGATTGATTCTTTAAAGTTGTTAGTTCAAAGTATTATTTTACATAAAACGTGTAACTATTCTTTAGCAACAGTGAAATACTAGAAAAACTCCAACTGGCAAATCATGAAAACCAGTATTATTTCAAAGTTAAATTCTAAACTGCTTCCACAAAAGTCATCAAGATTTGCTAATAACTGACTAGATCAATTTATTCTGTCAGGTTGTTGTTCCTTTAATGCGTTTATTGATTATTTTTTGAGAGCCTTCAGTCATTTAAGTTCACTATCCAATCTGTCTAGTGAGAACTGCAGTTTATATATGTTCTTCCACTTAAGCCTTTATCAGCATCAGAAGTAATTGAAACTAGTTTTCAAAAATAAATATCCTTTTGTTCTGATGTGCAATCATCCTAACTCCTGAGCAGACAGACCTCTGGCTATCTACAGACTTCTATTTTAATCAACCATTTTATAAGCAGTGTTGGTCATGATTAAATATGTATTGGAAGAGAATAGCATACACATACTTTTTCATAAATACATGTATCAGAGAACTTTCTGTAACTAGAAAAATAAAGACTACTTTGCCAGATGTAATTTAATCAGAAAAATCAAGCAACAGAGAGGTTAATGTTCCAATGGCAGCATTAAATTGTGCTGCTTGCTTTGTCTTTGACGCGTACAATTTACTGTAGCACTTATACGTAATGCATCTTAAGTGAAAACATACAGAAAACAAGAGAGGAAATATGTTTACTGTAGCCAGGTAGAAGAATAGACAAAACTTCCAACTGTTTTAAAGATAACGTGTTCAGGATTGCAACTAAAATCCTCACTGAAATTACTGAAATAAAACTAAAATTCTTATTAAAAGATTAAAAAAGAAAAAAAAACCCACCAAGCCTAGGCAATACTACTAATTAAGTCAAGATGTCCACATGTCCTCAAAAAATGAGGTAATGTAGAAGAGATCTAGTCTCTGCCTGGAATTTGGGCAAGAACCCATTGCTGTCATAAAGAAAATGCCACCAACTTCAGCAGTCTTTACAGTGGACTCCTGCTGCTTTTTTGGGGCTTAAAGATTTTGTTTTTATGCTTTTGTTTTCTTTTAATAGATGTTTAGCAGTTAAAATATACATTGCAGGGAGCTGCAGCAGAGTACAAAGAGCCCCCAGGCTTGCTAAGCCCGGGTTGCACCAGGGTGACACGTGCCACCAGACGTGATGTGGCTGCTATCACATTTGACTCAAAGGACCCAAATACTCTTTAAAGCTGGATTAACTGGGACTGCCTTCAGCGCAAACCTCGAGGAATTTGTACATCTGGATATCCATTTGTACAGGATATTTTAACTTTTCTGTCACTGTTGCGAAGTCAGAGGATTTATCAATCTATATTAAAATTGCTGCTGTAGCAAAGCCTGCTGCAGAGCACTGTTGCTAACTGCACTTTTTATTTTAAAATAGCAGCTTGTGCTGCTCTTATCGGGCAAGGCCGCTGCGTCGGGATCAGTGTCAGCCACGAGCCACGCGCTTGTACCCAAGTCACATCGCTGCCAGGCGCAGAGCTGGGGCAGCAGCAGGTCCCCAGCCACCACCACGTGTGTTAGAAATGCCCAAGGGCAGAGGTGGCGCATGGGGAGCATCCCTGGCTCTGGAGTTAGCAGCGCTTGCAGTGCTCAGACCCAACGAGCAGCACGTGGCCCTGGCCCTCCTTGCACACTTTTGCCTTAACCATGCCTCTCTCCCAGCTAAATGTTTTCTGGCTTTTATTCTGAAGCAAAGGCAGAGAAAGGAGCTGTAAATCTGTCCCCCGTGTTCCCCTTTGGTGGCTGCAGCCCTGTGCCAGCATCTGCACTGCAACGTGTTGGGCTGCACTGAAGCCCCTGGCGCTGCTCCTGGATGAAGGATGATGGGCTTAGGGGGTCTGACCTGTGGGAAGCTCGGGCTCTGCACACCTAAAATGACAGGCTTTCTGCAAATGTGAGATACGGAGAGTTTTTGGCGAGGTCTGGCTGAGAATTACTGCTGCAGGGCACAGGTTCATGATGCGGCTTTCATGAAATTTTGAGTTAACATGATGGCCTAGAATGAAGCCTGATGCAAGAAGGTGAACACTGAGGCTTTTTTTTTTATGTTATTTCTTCTGAGTTAGATGGATCTTTCCAACGCTTTCCATGCCTCCCCTTTACTTAATATATCAGAGGACACAGGGGATGGGCGAAGTCCTTGCTCCTGCTCGAGAGCTTTGATACAAGTTGTGTTGCAGCCACATCACTGCACTCTTTGGAGCGGACAGACTGAAGCAGCCGTTCCCTCCGTGCTCTCCCTTTACAGCTTGTTGCCCAGCCCCATCTCAGCTGGGTGCCCTTATCCCCAGAGCTCCTAATGATCAATGAGAATGTGATCTGCAGCTTCCCCCAGTCCCTCATCTGCAGACTTCTGCTCTACCTTGGGACACAGTGTATTAAAATACACCTACCGGCACCAGTCTTGCGTTCCCTACCTTTTGGGAACCCCTTAGAATTCCTCCATGAACCCTCAACCATCTGCATCTGATTTGTTCAGTGTTTTTCATCAGTCATTTTTATTTGTATTTAAATAACCTTTAAAATCACTGTTTCTGCAGAGCTTTGTTTTTGTTCAAAAAAAAGAATGCCCCTTACCAGATCAAAAGTGAGGCTCTCTTTAGTCATAGCATCAACTTCAGGGACGTGAGCTTTTGCTTGAGCTTTGATGTAACACTTTTCTCCTTCAGCAAAACGGATTCCAGTTATGCCCTGCAAAAATAGAAAGCCTCTGGTTACGTGCAGCCCTCTATCTCCCAATTGCTTCAAATAAAGCACTCAAGCTGTGTTGCTTGCCACTGAATTTTTAGATTGAAGGTTGTATCTTATAAACAAACAGATGCAATCACGCATATTTCTAACATAGTTTTAGCTTTATAATTTTGGACAAATGGGCTTAGACATTTTCATTTATTTATGCAAAATGAGATAGGTTTTATATGTGTCTCCATGCCAGCTTGAGGCTACCCGGAGCAGCTCTGCTAAGGAATTAGTTAACATGATTTGAACTGTAGCTTACCAGTGAATATAGGCAGCCTTAAAATTGTGTTAGCTGGCTGTGTTGTACCCTTGGCACTTTTACACAGATTTTCAGAAGCATGTGGGCAACTTGGTCCAATTTATACACTTAAATCCCTGTGACTGCCAGGGGAAACTCAAGACTGGGACTTCGGCGTGTGAATCTATATGTATATTGAAACTTTCTTCATCTGGCCTATGAGGGTGAGAAGCAGCTGCCTAAATGTAGTTTACTTTTAGGCAACCTGCACGTCCTGTGTCACATCTGCCCATCTTGTGCTGAGCGCGCTCTTTTTACAGTATGGATTTAGAGAGCTGACTGTAGACAGCAAAGCCTGTGTGTCTTTCATAGGGCTTCATTCAGCCACCTAAATAAGAGTATCTAGTGCCATTTGATGTGTTAGAGTCTTCTGCCATGCCAGAGGGGCATGTGCCTCCTGAAATCCTGCACCATCACCTGCCTTGTGCAGACCTCACGGGTACATTCAGCATCCAGTGAGGTTTGGCATGCACAGGACTGAGGCAACTGCTCGTCCTCGTGTAGCTCTGGTATGGTTGGTCACAGACCTCCGCCAAAATGAAGCAACTGTATCTCTGAGCCAGCAAGAGAAGTGGACCCTGTGCAGGGATGGGTGCTCGAGGAGGCAGATGCAGGGCCTTCATAGCCCACTGGGAGTGCTGGCAGCCACCGCGTGTTGCCAAAGCCAAGTCTGTACTGACCATGCAATCGTGCACGCCAGCTCATCCCAAGCTGCTGCTCTAAAGACTTGGCCTTTGAAAATGCATCTTTTTTTTTTCTCGTTTATGTTCATTCTTGGCTCAGAATCAGGCTGGCAGCATCGCTTTGCTCTCTCTTAGCCCGATCCCAGCCCTGCGCAGCTGCCAGCAGGCAGCGGCTCGGGGAGGCCTGGGGCCGCGCGCCGGGTTGCTCCCAGCGCAGCAGGACACACGGAGGCGGGAGGAGGCAGGAGCAGCTCTCCGGGGAGCCGCTGCCTCTGTGCAGGTGCGGCGCGGGGAAGGCAGGCGACGAGGGCTCGTTGCCGGTGCAGTTATTAGCCCCTAATAACGTTGCTATGGCGATGGGAGTGGGAATTTCGGGATGGCTTGAGCCGCTGCCAGGCAGTTTGGGGTCCCGGCGCTCCAGGCATGGATTTGCTTGTCCTTGCGGAGAAGCCCAGGAGCGGAATTTCCTCTCCTCTACAGGTTCAGCAAGGGCAGAGTGGCTCCCCCAGAAGGCAAGGCTTCCCGATAGCCAATGGTGCCCTTTATTTTAGGTACTGCTTTGACTTGTAGAAGGTTTTCTCTTAAATCCTCTAAGTCGAGCACTATGCACCCAAGAGCAGTAATTGCAGATCTGGGTCCTTGGCCTCTGCCTTGAGATCCAGGACATGAGCTGCTCTGTGCTAATTTGTCTGGCAGAGACCAAGGACATACTCGTGCTGTACAGCAGTTTGTTCTTCATCTCTGCTTGGCTTAACATGTTGGCCCTATGCTCCTAGAATGGCAAAATTTTGGGAAAAGGAGGGTTTTTTATCTTTTTTTTTTCAGTTCAAATCGTATGAAATAGTGTAAAGGGCTACATCACAGACTACCAGTATGTTTTTCTAGAGGGATCTCAAGGGTAAATGTTGCAGCTCTGTTTGATGGTCTAGAAGTGCAAAGTGCTATGCAGAACCAAAGCTCACGCGATCTAACCCATACACTTTTCTGGAGTGGTCCCTGGGATGAACTATCCTCAAAAGGCGCTTAGATGTCGTTTGGAGGAAGCTGTTTGGCTCACTGTGAAAGAAAGCTAGGAGTACATGGATGCCTGTGTGGATAGTTGTGGGACTGGAACCCAGGTGTGAGCTGGGGAGATAAGTCGAGAGGCAGTGCAGCATGTCTGTGGAGTCCAGCACTGGCCGTGTTGTATGAAAGACCGGGGTGGCTGTACTTACGATCTGGAAATCATGGACTTCAATGGCCTCTTCACTCCCACGTCCTGTTTTGAATGTCTCTAAGTTGTTTCCAGCATCTATTTCCATCGATCCATCTTGTACTTTTCCATTGATACTCATAGTATAGTGAACATTGTAAACCTGGAATCAGTAAAAGATCAGCAGCACGTTTTAGCAGTGTATTGCATCCCTCCTAGAGTAGGCAATATGGCAATCTCACTGTGATATCCCTATTCAGCTCCTAACTTTTATTTGTATTTCTGTAGGTTCTTCATAAGCCTCCTTTAATCAAGACCACACTAATACAACAAACCTCTCCATTGGGACAGCCTAGCAGTGGAACGGGTAGCCCAGAGAAGCTCTGCAGTCACCACCCTCGGAGGATGCAACACCATCCTGGTTGGGTAAAGTCCTGAATAACCTGCTCTGACCTTGCATTGAGCAGAAGGCTGGACTAGAAACCTCCTGAGCTCCCTCCCAACCTGATCTATCCTCTGATCTCATGGGCTGCACACAGTTATTATCTTCTTTAGTGCTACTTCCACAAAAGTAATGTGGGGTGCTTCTACATACAAGATAGCTCAGACATAAGAACCCTCAAGTTGTGCTTTGGGAATGACTGCTTACACAGGCACCATTCCCAAAGCACGGTGGGAGCGAACACCCCTCTCTGAAGGAGGTCAACCCCTGTTTATCTATTAGTATGTTCTGGTGAGGTGCTGAAAAACGTGTCCTTCTTGAATGCTGACATGCTTCCCAGCTCGTGATGAAGGTGAGCTTTGTTTAAACTGGATATAGACTTCTTGTGTCCTTTTTGTTGGAGTATTTGCTCTTGCTCTATTTTCAGTAAGGAAAGTACAGCATGGTCTGTAACTGCTGGATGACTATGATCTGTGGGTTTTTTTTCCAATTTTCTAGTGCAGTTCTGCTAAAAGTACTACACAAGCAGTTAACTTGTGGTCTTAAAAAACTTACAGTGTCATCTAGAGATAAATTCTTCTTCTCTCACCTTTGCTCAAGAAAGTCTAATGTGCTAAAGAATTATGGTTCCTTAATTATACTGATTCAGTCCCGTATTTTTCAGCAAGACTCCTGCTGAATATGGTACATCAAATGAGTCCAAGGTATGTGGTGCTTTATCATTCCTCTGCTAGGAGCTGAACTAGAGATAGGACTTTGCTAGCTCGGTCAGTTACAGGAGAATTTAAAGTTCTGCTATTTAAAAAGAATGACTCTAAATATCTCATGGTTGCAGAAAATCCCTTCCTAATAATTCACAAGTCAATTATAGCTCCTTGAATCTGAAGGCAGCCTGGAAAAATAACTGAGCTCTACCCCGGTCTTCACCTGGAGATCAGCTCTGAAGCTTAATGACAACTTACAACATCGACATCATAAAAAGATGTTATTAAAAAAAAAGAGAGAGAATTTTGAGTAAAAGCTTTATCAGTAGATTTCTGAGAGGGGAGAAGAGCGAACGGTGCAGGAAAAAGCAACTTACCTCCTGGCAAGATGTAGAAAATGCATCTAATTTTATAAAGGCTTGTGGGGCAATGACTATGACTCATGTTGCAGAACAAAATGCTGATGACTGGAGGAACAAACAAATGGGATCTTTGCCCTGAGCTCCACGAGTCTGTGGTGAGCTGAGCCCACTCCCTGCCCCAGACACCAGGTCACCTCCCTCTCCCTTTCCAAAAGCCGAGAGATGCACATGACTCTCATGGCACATCCTGGAAGTCAATGTCTTATCTCATCTTTTTGGTGTAAAACTTCATGCTTTCTTGTGATTACCTGAGTTATTCCTACATGCACATGAGATCTTTCTGTTTTTTTTTTTAATAGTTTTTTCTTTTTCCCTTTTTCCGTGTTGAAGCCCCTGCTGTGATTTGCACAAAGCTCTCCTTGATATTAACTGGAGGGTGGCTGGAGACACTATGGAGCTTGTTCAGCTTGGTCCAAGATAAATTCAGTGATATTAATTCCACTTAGGATCAAGTTAGTTAAATTCAAATGTGCGCAACCTTTTTTAAAGAGCAAAGTCTTTCGTAGGTGTAAAGAGAGGTTGATAGAAGCACAACCTAATGCTTACAACATCTCTAAAGTTTGATTCATGAGCTGCAGCTTCTCGTTTTGTTCTTTACATGCCAGATTTTTCATGTACCCCAGAAATGTAAATATTGAAACTTATCACAACTTTAAACAGTGTTTTGCAGATGTTAACCATAACTGTGTAGGCACAGTGTTAGAAACCACTAAGGAGTAAAATAATCATACCTATTAATGGGTTAAATATGGAATTACATATTTGAGAGTCCAAGTAGGATGTGGACCAAGAATGTAGATGATGTGAAGAAGGAATTTATATATTTCAATGCTTTTCTGTCCTGACAGCTGCGGTTTGCTCAGGATGTGAATCCCTGGGGAGTGACTGGGGCTTTGAGTTCTTTACAAATTGGTTAGCAAAAATCAATGTAGCGTCTGTCTGCGCGCTCAGAGATACGTTTTTCTTGTGCTAACACGTGTGCTTCCAGGAGGCACCTTCTAAGTGGCCAACAACGATAAATACATTTTTTTTTAATGGGAGAGATGGAAAAAAAAACCTTTAAAGAAGTCTTTATTGTCCTCCCTAAGAAAAGTTTCTGGGGAAGAGGCTCTGCGCCTGCTTATGCTCGAGCAGCCCCAAAACTCTTCCCTGCAGCAGCACCAAGGTGCCCCCCGCTGCGCTGTGCCCGCTGCC